AATAATATCCTATGATGACAATAAAGTACTAAATAGATCCTAACTTGCAATTAATTTGTATCAATAGTATATATTGCTTGTTTCTCATGATATAGATAATCGATTTCAAGAATAATCGAATTTTGTATAACAAAAGTATTTGCATCTCTCACCTGCCTCACAGCTGCTTGGGGTATCTATTCAAGAGATCAGACATCAATTGGAAAGGACTGCAAGCGCCTCCCCCTAACTCTCATTTTGCATGAGGCTGTAGATCCTCAGGCTGTTTGTCCTTTGTTGTGCTGGCACTTCATTTGCTGGCGCACTTGGCCTGCAATCAGGCGTGAGGCACAAATTGCGTCAACTGTCAGCAAAGAGCTGCAGCAGCAGTTGCCTTGGGCAGAAGCAGGGGCAGGGGCAGGGGCAGGTGTGCTACAATATTTGGCATGCAACATGCGACGCAATTTGAGCCGACATTAAGATTTACAGTTGGATAGTAGGCACGCGGCGGCTGCACTTTGTTTGGCTAACGGTGAACCGGGCGAAGGCTGTTGCAATTAGAAGCGAGCTGCGATTGAGTGGAAGTGATTAATGCCAAGACAGCTAAGCATTGCAAAGATCAGCAGCGGGACTCGCTACACTCTTGAAAGAGAAAAGAAAATGAGAAGAAACGGGCGAGCAAGAGTGTGATAGAGTATGAGAGGGAAACTTTGTAAGCCAAGTGCGCTCGAGAGCCAGGACAAGTAGCAGTAGCAAAAACTTGGTAAGTCCTTACGACAGCTGCTGCTGCTTACACGAGTGCCACGCAGCACGAGCTGGCGAGCTGACGAGCTGGCTAGCTGGCGAGCAGGAGACGCGGGCAACTTCTCAGAAAAAAGTTCATTAAAATTATGCCCTTTTCTAATTTTGAAACGGCCTGGCCAATGGTGGGCGGTGGGTGTGCCTCTGCGTAAAGTTTTTTGCAGCGTTGATAGGCACTTGTTTTGGCCTCCACGATTTTTGCTTTTGACAATAATCACTGGACTGTTAATTTGTTTGCCGCATATATATACTTTTTGGTACGTTCTCTCATGTACTTTTTCCCAATTTGTTGTTGCTGCTGCCTCTGTCTTCCAGTTGAAGAAACTTTGGCGCATTTGAAGCAAATCAAATGAAATCAAAGTTTTCAAAAAAAAAAAAAAAAAGTAAACAAAAACTCCAGTAAAATATTCAATGCTATCAAAAGAAGGGAGGGACGCAGCTAGTCAGAGTGGTGGGAGTCGGTCTACATCCACTTGCCGTAGGCGTGGCATGTGCTCCTTCCCGCTCGACCAACAGTCCCAATGAAGGGGTTAAACCTGCGCCCAGCAGCCTGCCCATTGGTCGAACTGTTTTTGCTGCTGTCCACTTGCCAGAAAAGGGTTGCATTAAAGGGGTCCTCAAAGGGTTAAAACAATGACAGCTCAACCCTATCTCCTTCTACTCGCCCACCCCTTCACTTTCTGGCTGAACGCCTGCATTTGCAATTACTTTTTATGCTCAGCCATTGCTGCTGCGTTTGTTGCTGCGGCCACTTACCCCAGCTCCAGCCGCAGGCCCGTCTCTGCCTTATTTATGGCCAAAAGCTCAAACACGCCAGCGAGGTGAAGTAAAAGAGAAAGATGAACAACAGGAGCAACCCCATCTGCAGAGCAGCAGCAGCCGGCTCCTTGCTGTAAAATATGCAAATTTTTTTCATTACACTTTTTAAATACACACACTAACTAGGAGAGGTATGAATTCTATGCTATGATGTTTGATAAATTAGGGAATTTTTTTCTAAGAATACTATTTGTATATTTTTTTATATATTTTAATGTAATGCTTTTTTTTTTTAATATTATAAACTCAGATGCAAATTTAGAAATCTGTAAATTTTCTTATTCACATAATTTACAATTTACAGTTTTGTAATGCTATTTATTATCAGTCATTTTTATTTATTTTAAATTATTTATTTACATATATAATTTTTTTAGTAAATAAACTTTCCTAGTCTTTGGTGAGGGTGTTTGAGATTCGGTTTACAATTTCATTTTGTCTCCTTGATTTTATTTCAGTTTTGTTTTGCTTGTGTAACGGTAAAAGTCACAGGGTTGCTAGTAATAAGCCCACCTCCACAACGCTTGTGCCTGTACACGGCTCCTGAAGCTCAAACTCCCGCACCCCCTTGGCGTTAGTTGCCACAGTGAGCACCCCCATCACTTAATTTATAACAAATGCTGCGTCTGCTGCCACTGCTGCTTCTTCTGCTTCTTTGGCTGCTTGTACTCTTAAAAAGTTGCGCGACGCTTTTTTTTCCAAGGGTTGGCGCAAATAATTTATGGCACCCGTGTGTGATTGTGTGTGTGTGCATGTTTGCGTGTGTGTGTGTGTGTGTGTGTGTGTGTGTGTGTGTGTGTGTGTGTGTGTGTGTGTCGCGCATTGCCTACGTCTGAGGTAAGGCTTTAACTCGCGCTTGCCTTCGCATCTCGCATCAGCTTAATGAGAAAAAGGCCACAAAATTTGCGTCTTCAGCTTTTTCAGCTTTAGCTTTAGCTACAGATACAAATACATTTACTACAGCCTCATCCGTATCGCATCCTCATCCTTGTGAGTGCGTCCTTTCATGTGTCATGTGCGTGTTGCCTTCCTGGTCCTTGTTCTCTCTCATTTGCGCTTGTGCGCGCATTGCAATAATTTAAATTTCATTCGAATTTGGGGCATTAGGAGACACAAGGAAGGGGCGCAGCAGCCGAGTGCGACCCCTTTTAATGACTGCCAGGATATTGAAGGACTCGTATTAATTGCATCTTATAATTCGATCAATGTAACGTCACTCAGCTGGCTATCAACTCGAACTACTAAATTTATTTATATAAGAGGCATGAGCAAGTACCGTAGGAAAATGGAATCTTTTTATTTAAGTATTTTATTTAGCTTTTTATATTTATTTAGCGCTGGAAATGAGGGACTGATATAAGATCAACTAAAACTTAAAAGTTGAAAGATAATTAAAAAAAAAAAAATTATATTCATACATACGTATAGATTGTATTTATATTTCATGTATTATATTTATAATATGTATTTATTGATTTATGCTATTTAGTAAATGTTATTAGACTCTATTAATAAAGTATTCAAACTGAATCGCATGACAATAAATATTTTTGTCCTACCGAGGAGATATTTTCGCAGTAAAATGAATTTCCATGCGCTGCTGCCCATCGATGCGCACTCGCTCACTTACACACTCACGCCCATACACACATATATACACAGTGAGCAATTAAAATTTTCCATTTCATTCAACTGCAAACGGAGAAAAGCTATCGAACAAAGTTTCAGCTGTTTCAACATTTCATTCGTTGTTGTTTTATTTTCTCTTCTTTGCTTTGCTTTGCTTTGCTTTCACAGATTTGTTTTTTTGAAGTTTGGACGAAAGTTTGTGGTAAGCAGAAGCCCCAACCTCCTACGCCAACCCCAACCCCCAGCCAGATGTCAACCCTCATTGGGGCCGCTCATTTACACTGAATTAAGTTGATCATAAACATGGCAACCGGGCCTCGACCCCTGACCCCAAAACCCACTGTGCAGCTAGCTAGGCCCGGTCTAAAAATAAGCTCTGCCAAAGAGGAAGAAAAATTAAAGCGCCTGTCACTTGCAATTATTTGGCCGCCAGGCAAAGCATCGCTTCACTTCCTGGCCACCAAACGCCCCACTCTCAACCCGAACCCCACTTGAACCACATTAACCAAATCTGAATCGAATCGTTGAGTTGTCTTGGTAAAAAAGAAAAAAAAAAGAAGAAACCTCTACGATTTCTGCCATCAATTATTAAGCGTGTGCAATTGTTGTTCGGAAACTCGAGATTAATTAATGACAGAGATTGCCGAGCTGCCAGCAACGTCTCTCGATAGCTGCTCTCCATCAATCCCTATACAGTACACAGAGAGTAGCTATTCCTGCTAAATCGTGCGTCGAAACCCGTTCGAGTTTAATTGAAGGCAATGCAATGGAAATTTGAATATGAAAGCGGAAGTTTGTGAGGCACGCGCTGCCAGGATAACCCGTCCTTTTTTATAAGCATTAGCATAGTGAAAATTTATGGCTGCTAAAAAACGATACCTCACAGTTTTTATATTCTCTGCAGCTGCACTTTATGCTAATGAAAAAAATGTAAGCACTATTTGAAAGGGTTGTTCATAAAAAATATACCACCGAAGATCGAATAACCAAGAATGCAAACTGATTTACTGCCAAAGAGAAAATCTATTGGAAATTATGTAGAGTGGCATGAGCATATGTCTAGGGATTATGGAAAATATCGAGCAATTCACAAGTGAGAAACATCTACGAAGAGAGTATCGTGATCAAGAGAGCCTATGAAGGATAGAAGAGAGAAATATATAAGTAAAGATGAGCACATTTAAAGATTTCTAATTAGGAAACAAATACATGTTTTGGTGCTGGATCCATTCAATTTTTCAGGGTTGGCTTAAATTCTGTGAGACTAGCCAAATAGTAATTGCCTTTAGTGGAAGCATACTCTTAAATATAACTTTCCCGAACAAGTCAAACCAGCTTAAGGAAATTGATAAAACTTTTCGCAATAGATGAAAATAAAACTCTTTTTTGTTCGCCTAACTGAAAAAGGTTCAGGTCCCAATCAATTCACATCAATTGCAATCAACAGCTTATGTCAACTTTTCTCACACGCTCTATTCAATCAAAAACCACTTGAGGTATAATAACGCAAAAATAGAAAAGAATGCGCCATCAACAAAAATTATCCTTTATTAAATTGAATATTCGCATGAAGAGTGTTTCCTTAATGCTGTCCAATAATTTGCATATGAAATATTTTGGGGCGACTTTAGTCGCCCAGCTGACAAAAGCAGGCCGAGCGACCCGAGCTGACCAAACCAGGTGCCTGCACTTCACACACACAAACACCCTCTTACATGTGGGCTTATAATAAGATTTGTTTGGTGTTTGTAACCCCAAAGGTAGCAAAAGAATTATCAACCGACGACTTTAATGATGAATCTTAACATTAGATTGAATTTGCAAATCAGACTGAAATGTTTTCCTTTTTACTATTTCTCATAGATTTTGCAATTGCAGGTACACACAAAGCCCGAATTGGGATACAGATCCAGCCGTGAGGGTGTGGCCATGCTCTCCTCAAAGGAGGCAAACTGTCGCTGGTGATGGACAAACTCCAGGTTGACTTTATCATTGAAGCGTCGCCGGGGCTTTTCGGCGAAGGGCCTGTAGCGATTAAAGAGCTCGCACATAATCTCGTTCGGATACTTGAGTTGAATTGGCGGTATAGGATAGGGTGTAGCTGCATCATTGCATCGGATATAGGGCTCTTCCTGCATAACCGAAGTCTTGGCATTGTCATTCTCCCAGACCCCTTTCTGGATTTGACCCGTGTGCATGTGATAGAAGACGCCCTCGCCGTTCTTAAAGCCCCGCGCAAAATGACCCTCATAGCGATTGCCATTAGCTGCATGTGCATAAAAGAGAATGCATACTCTTCATCAAGATTATCATGGAAACACATTCTACTCACCATAGAAGTAAACGCCCAGGCCATGCTTGAAGTCAGCTTCCCATTCGCCCAGATAGATGCTGCCATCGGCGTACCATTGGATGCCCAGGCCATGCCGACGATTCCTAAGCCAGCGCCCAAAGTACACACAGCCATCGGAATAGAAGTGCTTGCCGTCGCCGCACTTCATATCGTCGTACCACTGGCCATTGTACACGGTTTGCAGATCTGTGCCGCGCTTGCGCACCATTGAACCGGCGCCTTGGCGCTTGGCGTGTGACCAGGTGCCGTTAAATACAAGCTGTCCCTCCGGCTGCTTCTTCCGCGCATAGTAGTTAGTGGTGCGCTCCGCGGTGGTTTTCACTCCCCAGTCATGGTTCTTGTTGCGCAGCCAATACCCTTTGTAGGTGCCTCCGTTCGGGTAGACAAAGGTGGAACGAACACCCGTACTAGAAACAGGCTTGTTGGGGCAGAAGAACCGTTGCAGACAGGTGCGCATTTTCAGAAATTTACAGTATTACTATAGGATGTATGAACGGTAATCAATGTTCAATGCCTAATCGAACAGAAGGAACACGGTGTCTTATCCAAAAATTCTTGGATTTTGCTGTGTTTTGTGTAAAATAATAAATGTTTCACTCGAACTGGAAATAAGTTTCATAATTTTTAAATTTTTGTAGAACAGCTTGCTGGGTATATGAAAACCTACTTTCTACACGCTTGTATTATGGTAAGACAATGCTAATATTCATATCATAATCATAATCTTAATATTTAAAAAATATAACAAAAAGAAACTTTACCTTTCACTACATAGTCCTAAGTGTTTGGTTGGATTTATCAACTATTTTATTTTATTATTCATTCACATGTCTTATAAAAAAAAAAACAAATATTTTTGCACGAAAACTAAAACGTTAAATCTCTTAGTATATAAACTTAATTTTATCAATTTAACTGGGAATACGAATGCACATTATGCAGTAAGCAACTCATATATACTTTATTTTGTATTCGTTTAATAATTTGACATTTATAGTATATACAAAATATATCAAATGTCATTCTTTATAGTAGTGGCACGGAATATTAGGCCTAGCTTGTACCTTGCGATTTATTTGGTTTTATTTTAAGCTGTTTTTCGTTTTTATTTTCATGTACTTATTTTTTTTTCTGTGCCAAGTTAACGTATGCAGCATATAAATATTTAATTTTAATTGCTCGCAGCATTTATTAATTATTAAAATATCAATTTTGTGCTTCACAATTTCTGATGATGATTCTTCTTCTTATCATATCTATTATATGTTATTTTCGTTATCGTTATCTACTTTGTAGCATCGGCGCAACCTTAGAACTTTAAGCCGACAGCTTAATGGCCGCCAAATACCTGTGTAGGCACTGGGACAACCCCAGTGCGTACAATGGCTTGATGGCCGCTTGCCACGCCCCAGCCCCAGCCCCAGCCCCAGCCCCAACCCCAACCACAAGTTCAACTCGCAGTCGCCCACGCTGTCTACTTAATGATAAAAGAAAGGACATTAGCGGACCGCGGCGCATCTTCACATTTGGAGCGCCTTTCAAGTGAAAAGCAAAGAATTAAAAAAAAATTAACAACAAAAAGGAAAAAAGGAAGCGCCAACGAAATTCGGGGGAGAGGCACAAAAGAAAAAAGAGAGTAAAAATAAAAAATAAGAAAAGAAAACGAAACGAAAGAAAAAAGTAAAATGTGCCACGCGAAAGATTTGAAATTTTTCGTCCGCCCATTTATCAAGTTGCTTTTATTTCGTTGCGTGGGCGTAGTTAAAAATTAATAAATGAAATTAATGTCGGCGACACTTTGTCCTAAAAGGAAGAAGCAGCAGCGTCACTAGCAGCAGGACTTGGCCAAAAATGGCCGTTGCCAAGGGTTTCCTTTGAGGCCAGCTTGAGAGCAAATGCTGCTGCTGCTGCTGCTGCTGCTGCTGCTGCTCGAGCTGTGTTTACATCAAAAACATTTTCATTTGATATATTCTGCGCCTAAAAGTCGATAATGCTTTTTGCACCGACAGCTGCGTCACATGAATTTAATTAGCGTACGCCCAACACTTTTTCCTTTCTCTCTCAATCTGGACCTCGGTCCATCTGAAGCTAACACAATTAACTGCCCAACGGGAAAGTTAACGAAAATAAAAAAGTATATATACAAAAAAAAACTTTGCATCTGGCAAAATCTTTGTAAATTCATCTTTGTCGCTGCCGGTGATTAATCACAGAGGCGGGCAGCCCTCCCCGTGGCTTGCCCCTATGCCCAATGAACAGGTGTAAAACCAGCTGTGCGTGTGTGTGTGTGTGTGTGTGGGTGTGGGTGTGGGTGTGGGTGTGGATGTGCCCTTAAAGTGTCCCCCTGGTGTTGTACCGTCGCAAAGTTTGCGCTTAATATGCAAAACTGTTCAAGCTTTGCGGTGGATTAAAAAGTTTGCCAAGCTTCGCTCCCGACCAGGCCAAGCAAATGGAGTAAGACATTAAGCGCTCTTAGCCAAATTAGCGCTCGGGTAGGAGACAACTGTACCCGAGATTCAGGTGACCAAATCGCATTCTTCTAAGGCAGAATACTTCTGAGCTGGTAGTAACACGGTTTAAATTGAATTCTTGGTAGACTTGACTGAATTTATAAGTACACTTGGTGTATCTACGTTATTTTTGGAACGATCTCTGAATCATTGCATACACAATCAAATTATGTTGCTACTTTAATTTTTTAACTTTCGAAAGTTAAAAAATTATATAAGCGAAAAAATCCAAATAAAATGAAATAATAATAATAATAATAACAATAATGATATGAAGCCAAACAGATTGAAAATAATATAATAACAAATTTAATTGCTGAAATGCAATTTTAACATAGTAACAAAATTAATACCAACTAACTGCCCAGATTCAATCTGGGATCGATGATGCCTCCTCCGGGCGTTACCTCGCCAAAGATGCCGCCTCCTGGATTTTTGGACGGTTGCTTGGGTCGCTGATTGTGACCCCAAGGGGGCAACTCATCCAAAATACCACCTGCGGGATTCCGCGAGGTGAAAGTTGGCTCAAATATGGCTGGACCCGGCCCAGACCCGGAGTTTGTGCTCGGGTTGGGAAAATGTATGGGATTTATGATCGTACGGCCAGGAGGAAACATTTCGTCAAAAGTTGCCGTGGCCAAAATTTCGTTAGCCACATCCAAAAACTTTTTCGACAATCCTCGTTCCAGGCCTGGCCCAATCTCATTGAGGTACAGGTCCTGATTGTCATTGATCAGAGTGTTGCCCACCGTACCCAAGATGCGATCTCCATTAAATAGATTGTCCAGCTGCAGCTTAAAGTCCTTGAACTGTATTCTCATTGTCATCTTGGTGAACTTGACGTACTCCAAACCGTGTCTCAGATAGCGTGTGCCGCGCATTTTGACAGAAGCCTTGGCATTATCTAAAATCGGGAAAAATCGAATGTGAAGCGGCGTTTTTGCTATCCAATTTCGTGGCACAAACCGCAATATCCACGCATGTTGCCTTTGCCCTGAATGTCCAAGAGGAGCAGATTCAGTCGCATAGAGTATTTGCCTTGGAAGTCAATGCGAGGCAGCGTTATCCACAGATCATACGAGATGTCCTCCGGCTTGGCTCTAAATAACGTGTCATAAAGATAACAATCCTTCTTAAATTCTCGAAAACACTCACATAATACGATCGATTATAAAATTGCTGCCACCAGTTGCCTCCAGCTCCGAAAATGTTGCCTGGAACTGGCTGCTGCGGCCCAGCTCAATGTTGTCCAGTTGCAGTGGCTCCAACGGAGGCGTTCGATAGCCATCTCCTAGATTGCCGTGCACTAACAAGGGTCGCAGATTGTAGACGGCATTGATGATGCAGCGTTCCAGCTGGGGATCATTCCGAGCACAGGGCGTTATGCTAGAAGCTATAAGTAGTACAAATATAAAGAAGTGCGGAAGTTGATTTTTTAGTGGCTGAAATATTGCCCTTGGTCAAGAACGTGCAACCTTCAGCTGAAGTACTTGCTGCATTGCAATTTTATTTACTACTGTGTCACACATTATATACATATAAGCTTCATATGTGGCGTCTAATTTGTCGTAAACTTTTGCCGCGCATAATTAATATGCGAAACAGCTGCAATCGACGAACTGTTATTGTCGAAATAGTGGCTTTGACTTGACTCAGGTCAGTAGCCCTTTGGATTGCAGACTGGTGGCTTATACGGCTTAGACTGTAGGAGTAATACAGAAATAGTCTCGATTATAAAATATCATATTTGAGTATAATATATATAATGAAAAGGAGATATAGAATAAACTGATTATATATACATATATACATATTTGCGAATATGTTTTTTTAAATATATTAATTATACGCTTGACGAAATTGATTTTATAAAGTTAGGTTTATATGTATAGATATTAAGAAAAATCAAATTGATGGGCAAACGCAACTAGTGTTAACTTGGCCAATAATTAGTAGATCAAAATATTTTTTTTATTTTAATAAGCTTAACACTTAAAAACAATTTGAATCAAAAATGAAAAGTTTATTAGGCAATAAAGACTAGCCAAATATCAACAGCATATATGCAAATATTTGTTTACATATATATTATTTATGTTATTAATCTACGATTTATTGATTTTTAGCAGAACAACAACACTCACATTGAAAGGTTATGACTTTCCCTGACTTAGACACACCTATAAATTGCATTGCCTTTTAATTGAGAGCTCAATGCCTGCCTACCGCTGTGTGATTGACTGATTGATGACAGTTTGGCTGGCTAATATGTTCGACCTACAGCAATTCGGAATTTCCCAGATGTATTTCCCCATTGCACTCTACTCACGCAATTTGGCGCTGCTCCAGTGACACAGAGCCAGCATGAGCAGCAGCAGCAATAAATTTGAACTGCGATCAGCGAACATCTTGAGAGGCAGACAATCGGCTGAATGAGACTGAAGCACGAACTATGTATAACTGAACGAGACTGCAGCACTGAGCTATATTTAAATATGTTATATATTCAACTGAAAGCGAGAGTGAAGCGTTCTCGTTGCGCTCGAGCGATCGACTAAAGATTCGCCAAGTCGAGCGCTGGTCTTTTGATTGAATTAAAACGAGGTGTCTAGTGACGAGACTCAATGCTTGGCTCAGCTCGCCTTAACGACAAAGCGCGTAGATACATTTGTATTTTTCTATCCATTGGAAACTTAACGCACTGGCCGCACACGGCCATTTGGCATTGGGGCACGTGAGCGCGGCTTGCATGTAAAGTAAAATTTATGTAGTTTTAAGTGAATTATAAACAACGCGTAAATCGCGCCTTGCCTGTAATGTTTAATAATAAATGCAGGCAAAAAATTTGAATACTAAATTTAGAGGGAATAGAGAGAGAAAAAGAGAGGGAGATGGAGGCAGAGAGCAAATCAAACACTTGACCAGGCGCTAAACTTGTTAACAATTCAAAAAGTACAAAATTGTCATGAAACCTAGAGAGAACAATACGAATATTTTAAAGAAAAACAAAATATTTATGTTTTTCCAAATGTAAATTTCAGCTAGTCATTTTACTAACGAAGCAAACACGCGATTGTGATTAGGGGGTGATAAACTCAGCTCTATGAATGGGGGCGTTTCAGGT